TACCTACACATATTAACGTTCTCATAATTTTATTTAAGTGGTAGGAGCTTCAGCCAGGATCAGAAGCCAGGACAGTAATGAAGACTCTTGTATAAGTTTAAAAGCACCATTATTAGATATAAATATGTTTGTATCCAGTCCACTCCCACTGTTAGAAAATTCTCGTTAGCTATACTGTAACTCTAAACCCACTCAACTAGCTTGGCAGGGCAGAGAGATTGTGCTAAGTAAATCAATGCTTTTCAGCACAGGATGAGGGGCAACAGGTTGCATGATTATCTTTGCCTCACCTCACACTTTCACCCTCTATTCTTCTTCTCTTCCCCTTCTCTTGTCTAGTGGAGATGAAAGATCCTGTTGAGAGCTAAGAAGAACCTGATTCAATTCCAACTGTCAGCATTCAGTCCAAAGGTAGCACTCAAACAGCCCACTTATCTCGCACACATCTCTATTTATAAGCAGATTCTTATTAGTAACCATAGCTGCTGAATTAAAATTCACTTCATCCAGAGAATCCTCAGCGCTCCTCAGTCATGTGTTACCCAGCTTCACCCTCCTCGTGTCAGATTCTTTCCCACCTGCCTCCATCTCCTTCGTTCTGCAGGGGCAGGAGGCAAGCAGGCCGTTTGTATTGTACATGCTCCTCCAGGGCCAAATGCAAATCCTCTCTACCCATTTCAGGTCTGCAGCTATGACCCTGATAGTTTGGTATAAACGTGTCAGCACATCTTTGAAGATTGAGTGTGATAAATTACCCACAAACTCAACTAACAGACATTTAATAAATCAAGTGTGCAATGCATATTATTTTAACGTACAGCCAACACAGACTATAGAGGCAATAATCATGCCAATAAATCATATTTGATAAGGATGTGCTATTCTCAGGTCTCCATTGAGATTTAGGGTAATAAGATGGTTTGGAAGTAGACATCTGTAGAGAGTGCTAGGGTACAAATGTCTATACAGTACGAGCACTTTTTCTGTTTGTGGCTCTGTAGAGTTGTTGAGCCAAAGCACAGGATTCATTGAACAGGTTCCAGGTAGAAAAAAAATTCATTTAGGAACTGCTGTGAACACATTGTCAAGGTTGGATAAATAAGAAAGCTAGCAGCATAGGAAATAACTTGGCAAAGAAAAACAGGTTGGCGTATAAGGGAGAGAGCCTCAACAATGTCAGACAAAGCACCAGAGAAGTAAAAGCTGAACAACCGTGTGGATCAGGGTGGGATGGCGTAGGGGGGAGCTGGGTAGCACATAATGTTTAGTTAAAATTAGCCGGAGTACAGTATCAAATCACATAACATTGGGCAATCACAACAGCCTGCCCTGTAAAGACTCTCTGTCCCAGCAAAAGTTAATATCCGTGCGGTGGGTAGAGCAGTCGTCTCCCAACCGTAAGGTTGAAGGTTCGAATCTCGGTGCCTGCAGTCCACATGTCGAAGTGTCCTTGGGCAAGACACTGAACCCCCCTGTTGCCCCTGATGGTTAGAGCCATCGGTTGAGTTGGCACCACAGATGGCTGCCTCGGTTGTGTACCGGAAACAAATTCCTTGTGTGTAACATACTTGGCCAATAAAGGTGATTATCCTTATTAAAAATCAGTGTAGAGCAAATGGATCAGCTTCAGTGTGCATCCTCTATGTATCCCTCCTGTCACATGTAGTTCCGTATCGTAAGGGTCATAATTTTGTCTGCTATTCATCGCCGACCTGTATTTTTACGTGTTTTAATATAACCAATCAGCCTTGGGAACGCCGACGTAGAGATACATGCATGCAATGTGCTGTGGGCTGGGGAAAAAGCCCATTGCATAAGACCACAGAAGAGCAGGTGGAGGGCCAAGGGTGGCCCATATATGGTGCACCATCGGATGGGTAAACGACTAATTGCTGATAATTCCCCAGACCCGTGCTACCTGTTGGATTTTTTTGGTCCGGTCGCATGTGTCATGCGAGGGCTCTGGGGAGAATGTGCGTGTGATACCCGATTGTTTTTGTGGATTTTACAGGACATGTTGTTCAATAACCTAAGGAAATAATTTGTTACTACTTGTGGGACATGATTCATTCCCTGATCAAACGTGACTACTGGTGGTCATGAGAGCAGTTGTAAGTCCACTGGCATGCCGTTTGTAAGACAAGGGAAGCTGGGGAGAGATGATGGTGATCGCTGGTTTGTTGGACCCACACTACATATCGGATTTAATGTTTTTGCTACTCAAGGGAATGTAACATATAATCCTTTTGTTAAAAACTCTGCATGGCTGATAATGCATTAGGTCTGTTGTGTGTTTAGAACATTTTTCAAATTAAGTCGGTTTTAATTCTTGCCTCTATCAAAGCTATGGGGCTAAACTTAAAAATAAACAAAAGGTGAAACAGCTTCATTTTCCTATGTTTAAATTCAGCAATTCTGAAAAAAGAAAATTAATACGTAATAGTGTCAAAACTATTGGGGGTAAACCTTTAAACTACACTAACCAATACAGTGGGTTTTCCTAAGCTTAATTTAATTGAGAGAAACATTAATCCTTACATTTATAAAATATTTATAAACTAACTGTATGCTGGTGGTCAGGTCTAATGTAATAATATCCCTTTGATGTAATAACCCTGGTCTCCGGGTGTTGGTCGGTTCTATTCCCACTGGAAACTAATAAAATCCTTTAATGCTGTTACAAAATCATAAATGATGGTAATTAACTTTCTGTCAAACCTATAATAAATTGTTTCAAAATGAAAATCTAACACCTACATGCAAAATCATTTGAAGTTTGTAATTAGGGTTCATAAACGTTGACAGCCTTTGATCTAGATGGAAGCACAGTGCAGAAAGTGGGCAGGGCTTAGTGATAAATCATGTTATAAATCTTGATTTCATACCTCAGTTTGACAGGAGCGATATTCTTATACTCAGAGTATTACAGCAACAAATTTAGAGAACACCAGAGACTATATAATGTAATAATGTTAAATTAACATGTTCTTACCTTGTTATTTAAAACAACCCATGATATAATCATGGGGCAGGAATCTTCTTTCATGTTATTCCATGTTTTCCCTCTGTGATCTGGGGCAGTCCTATGTCCTTTTGAAATCCATGACCTCAGCATCAGACTGGGTTGTACTAAGCTTTTCACTAACAGTTGTTGGCTTTATAACTGGCCTGTTTAGCTTTAGCAAATTCACCTGTCTTTTTTGCATTTGTACTCCATGGCTAACGTAATATTACACTGAATGTGCACCTGACCCAGTGTGACCTGCGCGGGCTGGTTACGATGTGACGTAATTAACCTAACTGCCTCTGTTTATTGTATATAATCAATCTGATTTTAGTATAATATGCTGTTGTGAAGGGCTAGTTGCACAAAATGTATTAGACCATGGACTTTTTATACATTACTCATATATTCACTTTCTTTCATATGTAAATGAGGTGGTGGGTCCATTAAAATAGGTGCCTGTCACAATTTGAGAGGCTTGTTCTGGCGCAAATGAACCCATCTGAGAGTAAAATGACAATCTTAAAGAGCCCATGGCATACTTTTCTTTCTTTTCTGACTTATCTACAATTTTACAATGATGAATTATCTTAAACATGACAAAGCTCAAAAAAATGAGGTGTACCTACAGTATGCTGTTGTACTTCTATGTTGAAGCAACGGTTTAGGCAAGTCTCACAACCTCTCACTGGCGAGACTTTTTTCCCCCCAACAATGTAGGGTCTTTCTTTCCTTGAATGGTCATAATCTCCGAGCAGTTGCACGTTTATGTGAGCTTGCCTGACATCCACCGGTGCCATTCTAAAAGAGGAATTTTTCGACTGCACGTGGTTTTGTGACCAGACGATGTAGAGAAAAATACAGGGCCTGAGGTTACTGCATGTCTGGGAATGTTCATGTATAGGGACCCGCTGTTTTAACTGATCGGGTCTAAAGTGGTGTGAATGGAGAACTGGAAATCTACAGGCAGCTGGCCAGCCAAACACCATGAGGCGGTGAATGATCAGTTGAGCAACGCTGGATTCCCCCTAAGGCACAGTACCTGTTTGTTTTGACTGCTTGAGGCCAGTGTGTCTGCCGCCTGTGATGTATTGCGGGTTGGTGAGAGGATTCTAACGATCCATGATGTTACTGTCAGTGCAACGCTAACTGTTGGAATTAATTTCACTACTTTGGGACTGTATGTGGTCGCCTGTAACGTGAGGGATTTGTGGGGGAAAACATAGTTGGATTTACCTACCTTGGAGCTACTTTAAGGGAGCAATGTTTCCACTACTCTGTGGGACATAACGGTGAGTTAAAACAAAAACCACATGTTGCATACCTGTTAATGCATTGTTTCTGTTGAGAGAACTGTTGTAAGGCTGGAAAAGTTACTATGTATGCATAATGCCAATTATACAAATCTTTTTTTCCCCATCAGTACGTACTGGATATCGTCATTTACTTATCTAAGGAGAAGGAATTCCTATTAATTAATGCTGTTGCAGTTTGTTGTGCTGTCCACTTTCATATTCTGGCTCGAACATGTCAGGTAGGATTTGAGTTATTGTCACTGTCCTCACAGGTCAGATACAGTTCACATCCACATCTGAAATTAAACCTTATGGTATGTACTAACATTGGTGAAAAATTCATGCTTTTATCATTCAATGCTTGTGCATTGAATGATAAATTTGGGACTGTATGTGGTCGCCTGTAACGTGAGGGATTTGTGGGGGAAAACATAGTGATCACTGGTTGGATTTACCTACCTTGGAGCTACTTTAAGAGAGCAATGTTTCCACTACTCTGTGGGACATAACAGTGAGTTAAAACAAAAACCACGTTGCATACCTGTTAATGCATTGTGGAAACATTGCTCCCTTAAAGTAGCTCTTGTATTTCAATACAAGAGCTTATCTGCTGCACTATCCTCATACTAAGGGAGTAAACAGAACCCTTGAGCAGGTGTAGTCACTGACGATTCCAACATTGGATTCAAAGATGGTCCCATCCGCAACATTGATGTCAACAAAAAAACAAAACAGCGTTACTACCCACTCAAGAAAAGGAGTAATCTGCTATCAGTATTTCTCGTCGGTCATAACACCTTTTTGCTGACACATCGTACAGTGTGGGGCTGTCAGCGCTCAATTAGCCTTGTATATAAATATATTATATACAGTCTACTGCTTCAATTAATTTGATTGTCCACAAAATATGATATCTTGTCTGTATCATGATGTTATGTTGTCTTTGTACTCATCCAAGTACCCTAAATTAACTTCAGACCATGGGCCTCAGAGCTGCAAGACAGCTAATTAAATTTCTGACATGTCAGAAATCCATCTGATCATTTAGGAACTAGATCACTGGTTCTTCAAGTGATTAATTGGCCGCCGGGACCCTACTCGCATTATTTTAAAACAACAATCGGCTCGAAATTTGGCCCAATTCTAAAAGTACTAAATCGAGTCTAAAATCAGGCTGAATCTATACAGTATCTGCTTGGCTTTGGACAGCGCCCTCTATTGCCATCACCAAAACACCAAATGCTAGAATATCTTTTGGAAGAATGGTGTTAATCCCTCAAGTAGATTTCAGAGACTTTTAGAGTCAATGTGAAGGTGCACTGAAGCTGGTCTGGCATGTGGTGTTCTAACACCTAACTAAGACATTCTATGTTTTTTTCTTTAAAAGCTTAGTTTCACAGTCATCTGCTCTGCTGAAATCAGAGAACAAGTGATATGGATACTAAAGACAGTATTTTGCTCTCAATGTGATTATTCTTGAACCAGAAATTCAGCTGTGCAAACTCTAAATTCATAGATTTTATATCCCATATTTGTTCTCTGTTTAGACACTGGTGAGAAGAAAGAATGACCAGCTGAGGGAAGGACAATCAACCTCATCTGACAGCCAACAAACTGTGCGAAGGCCAACCACACCGGTGTCAGACCGCCCCATGGCAGTATGGGCTCTGACACTGGCCCAGGACAACCAGTTACTCACAAGATGCTCACATTCCCAATTTTATTTAGCCTTTCCCCTCTTTGTTAAGAAATTACTCATCCCTGAAGTATATATGTACTGTATGTATATGTATGTAAGTATGTATGTACAAAACCTTGCTATAGGAGTTGAACATATCAAATCAGAAAAGATGAGCCATACCTCAATGTGTGTTAGTCATATCATTTTGCCAACTGGGTGCAATGAGATAAACCAGGTTCAAGTCTCTATATATGATCTATACCCACTGTGAGAGCTACAGCCATAGCTCCTACATGCTGACACTGCAGGCTGGGGGATGCTTAACAACCACCCCTTAGTTCTTACAACTCAAATACCACCACCCCAGTCATGATGACATCCAACAGCAGAACACCTTAGAACACCCTGCATTTCTAAGCCTCTAAAAGTGCAGCACACCAACACCGGCCATGTCTCTTCACAAACTACTGCAGCTTAAGCTCCACTATTTAGTCAAATCAGCCAATGCCTTGTTTCAGACCACTGTCTTTAAGGCTGTGTAACACCCCCACCCCCAGCCTTTCCTCTCTGAACATCAGTGTCTGATCTCCAACGCTGCCATAACTGCAGCTTAACACATTTTACCAGGAAACTGTTCATCAACAAAAGGATGAGTGTCTTTTAACAAATAGATTAGTCCCTCCACCACCCCCACCCCTTCTTTGCAGTTTCTAATGCATGTCAGAAATTTGCTTTGAACCTCAAACAGGAATTACAATTCTCTTCGCTTTCGCTCGTCTCCTTACCAGATTGTCTAAAATTGTATTTAAAAGAATCTGCCTTATTTCATATCAAACTACAAAATCACAATCACACCTAAGAAGGTGGTCTGGGTATGAATTCTTGGTTATGTATTTGCTTGCAAGTTATTTGTAATTTTCAGTACATCATGGTAATGGCTTATACCTGTTACTTTATTTCCTTGCGGTTTGTTTTAAAAATGGTTTTGGTTTCCCCGTTGGTATGATTCATGAATTCTTTTCAGTGATGCCATACTGAAGATCGTATCACACTTCTATGAAATGATGCCTTCATACATTGTTTGCTTTGCTAGACTATAAAAGAAACTAATAAAGTTTAAGGTGGGAGCCATGTCTCAGCTTTTGATGTACCTGGTCATGATATTTTTACTTTTGTCATGACTACTGTAGTTGATAGTTTATTTCATTCTAATTGCAAATAATATAGTTAATTTCTCCTAGTGTGTGAGAAACCCAACAACTGTGACAGAGCGATCAGTTGTCTGTCTCCGGTTAGACAGAAGCAATTTGTGTCCTGTGATCTCCAGCTTGCTGCTACTCTGGCCCTCAGGCTCTCTTCTGTATCAAATGAGATCTCTGGCAGAACCTCTCACCGCAGAGCTCTCCCTCCCTGTGAGAAACTCCCTAATGACCAGAGACCTCACAAGGTGTTATCAAAGCTTCCACCACTCTCCAGAGCAGAACCTCTCTATCAGTCATCTTGCTTATCAAAAGGAGTGCGACTACACTTGGCTCACCAGACGAGACATTATTGGGTTCACAAGAACAACATGAGAAGATATTTCAACACCATATTTAAGAACTCTTCATTGACAAACTATAACTAGAAAAAGTCTCATTCAACTTCACAAAATCCAAAACAATGCCAGTGCATTTTGAAATGTTTTAACTAATCATCTCATAATTGTCACTTCAGTTCTACTTTCTGAGTAGAGCTGCACCAATCAAGCAGTGGAGATCAGAAATGGCCAGTTTTCAGTCAACGGCCTGTCGCTCTGAGATTTCTGATTCTGTGCCACAGCAGTCAGCGTCGTGCACACAGTGTCACAGAGCAAAAAACGTAGCATGTGCAGCATGCAGCACACCACATGCACCATCAGCGAGACTTACACTCGTGTCTGTTATGCGCTTGTTGTGCACAGAGGAGCCTACAGAAACGCAAAGGGGAAACTCCGTCCAATTCTCCGACAAATAGGACACAATGAGGGAATGACTGGCTACACATGAAATGTGTGTATACGTACAATGTATCCAACCTGTGGTAAACACAGCAAATACAAGCTACACGCACTTCAAAAAGAACTGTGTGCTCAGTAATAAGACATTTTCATTTCCGTTACCTGTTGCACCTGTTTCTAATTAGAGAAAAAGAAATACTTAATTTTAGTTGGTTTGCAGAAATAATAGTAATAATGAAAAAAAATGTCTGTGTATGCTGTCAGTTACAGTTCTTAAAAAGAAAGAAAATGGGAATCAGCCCAGAAAGTTACCATCAGTGCATCTCTATTTCTGAGTATGAATTATCATATGCAGTAAAGGACAGAACAATATGTAAGCCCTGTAAAAGGTTTTGCCACAAACTCAACTGATTGGCTTCTCTCCTGTACGAGTCTCTTCAAAACTTACAACTGTGCATGAGCTTCTAACTTCTGAAGCTGTGTGTGACCTTCTTTCACCCTCACACTCTGTCACGCTGGTTGATGCCCTGGTTCTGTTATGTACTGATTTCACAAAACAGCTTTTCACCTCAGTGATAAATATCGACACATTTAAATATCAAGATCTCACATCACACCCACACCCATTATCTTAGTAACTAAATCTTAGGTAAAATGTTTACTTAAAGTATGTTCATAATTTCTAAAGTCCAACTTCATAAACTGCACTGTCACATAACAAAACTACAGTAGTAGTAGAAGTGTTCGGATCCCTTAAGTAAAAGTAGCCACACAACAGTGTAAAATGCTGTTACATGTAAAAGTCCTGCACTGAAAATGTTACCTAAAAGTACAAAAGTATTAACATCAAAGCTAAGTACTAAAAGTACTTGGTATGTAGAATGGTGCAATTAATTTATGTGCTTACAATTCGAATTACTGCTGGGTAGCTTATCAATTTCTCAGCTGAAATCAAAGTGTCTGTATTATCTGGTTTTGAAAAGTAACTAAAGATGTCAAATAAAGTACTGAAGTGTTGGTCTTCAGTTCTTCTTACCATTGCTAACTCTAAGAGACGAGACAGTCCAAGTAACTACAAAACAGTGCTGATTTATTCAAAGGATCACAGGTAAAATTAACATTACATGTTCAGGTATCTACTCGCAGGCAGATGTAAGATGAAAGACCCTGAACCCACCAGGCCTATACATTATATCCCCTCGGTTGGGCTAGCCCCATACTACACAGAAATGTCAACTGGGACGTCTCCGTTGCCAGCTTTGCAGCTGGCCATAGCAGTAGTCAAAACATGAAGCTAATCAATGTGTGTGTGTCTGTTGATTAAGTGGTGTGTAACTAAAAACATTCTCATGACCTCTAGAACATGTCGTGACTTAAACATAAGAACATATTATGGCTAAGGCTACAGTTATACACGTCATAATAATATAGTATTAGTACAGTATGTCGTGACTTAAACATAAGAACATATTATGGCTAAGGCTACAGTTATACACGTCATAATAATAATATTAAACATCCTGTCTGCTGACAGTCATCAACTCTTCTCTCTAGTTATTCTTGACCAGATGTACCCTGTAGAAACTCATAAGCATGCCTAAGCATTTAACAGTCTAACTAGACATCCTATCTCCACTAACATTTCTAATACATAAAGTATCTATCCAATATCTATCTGACTAAAAATACCTAACAGAAGTAAAAGGTATAACATTTGCCTCTAAAATGGAGTGAAATCATAGTATGAAGTATTACAAAATGAAAATACTCAAATACAGATACCTCAAAATTGTACTTAAGTAAAGGTACTAAGTTACTTTCAACCACTGCAAAACTGCTGCCCTTATTTTAACAATAAAAGTCACTGTATTGAACTTGAGAAGCAGCAACTCTGTCTGCACCAGTTTGTCTCATCATTCAGACAAATTCCATTAGAATAAAGCTGGACACAAATCTGAAGCCAAGCTGAACTCTGTAAAGACTGGACACATTTACGTCAGCATACAGATTTTATGGTCTTCACAACATGAAAGGTATACATTTCAACTAGAAGGGTTGCAGTTACAGTATATGACAAAGCTACCAGGGCACCAAGACTAATTTATAAACGCAGTCCAACACTAAAGTGCATTGCATTCACCAAAGAAAAATAATATCGGAGGATCTTATCTTGTAAATAACTCACTGACTCATAATTACTAGATCCTGATCTCAAAATTACCAGAAAAGATCTAATAATTACGAGATCGGGATCTTATAATTATGAGTTAGTGAGTCATAATTATGAGATTTTTTTTTTCCTTTGGTGAATGCAAAAATCAGGAAAAAGAATTCTGATACGTTCCTTTATCACAACAGGCAAATCCCAACAAGCATCTTCAATCACATGGTGTTTGACATTATTTTGTAAACAGAGTTTGTATTATTGGGCCATAATGGCAAAAAAAAAAAACCTAGACAACAGGTATCTCATCTGTCTGTGTAAAAAGCCGATGAAATGCACGGCGCCTTAGCAGCCACCCTGTTTGTGTTCCATTAACTTGTCACATGCCAGGCGGATGTCAGAAGTGATCGTCTCTGGAATGGAGACTTTAAATTTTAATGACTTCATTTAAATGTTGCATGCCAGAGTGGAGGCTTCCCTGAACTGTGGGGTAGTGTCAGAGGAAATGGCTTCATCGGTCAGGGGTGCTGCTCTGCACCAGCTCCTCGGCATGCACCAACTTTTCGGCACTAAAATAAACCACCAATTCAACAAAAACACCCTGCCATCCTTGTTTACACCCAACAATGCTGGATTCTCTGGCTTATATCACAGTTGTTCACTCAAATCCCTATTAGCACTGTAGAAACCATCTCGAAGGCACGGTGTCTACACATTAAAATAGAACACAACCGAGTATTTATGTATGCGACAGTAGTGTTGATTGACCTCAGTAGTTTCTATCTGACTGGTCTTATCAAGCAGCTATAGGCTGATGGGATTTATTCATTTATTTTCCAGATGAAAGCGCCATGGGTCTCTTATATAGACATGCATTACCATGTTCCCGTTCTCCTCCTTTCAGCTTTTCCCACTACTCTCCTGCCGCCAGCTCCTCCCACTTTCTTCCACCCTCTCAGCACACTACGACTGCTCAGTGTAACACTGGCTGTTAACACAGCACAAACAAATAGGACAAAACCAATTCCAGCTCTAAAGCGTTAAATCCCAGGGCTAGATAAGCCATTTTTTATCTGAAGTACAGTGTTTGTCCTTCATAAAAATTCATCTCCCCCCACAAGAGGCAAAGGCAACACTATAGGTGAACTAAGCCGAGATAAACACTCTAATTGGGATGAAAATTGACGCCATTCATTATGGATGCCTATCTTCAAAGGCAGTGAGAGCCACAGAAATGTTGAAGGGAAATTGACTTGCAGCGTTGCTAGCCTGCTTTGAACAAGTGAGAATCCATCGATTAAAATCCACCAGCACAAGACAGCTTATGCAGATTACATTTGTTGCATGACTTAAAAAAAAAAAAGTCAGTTTGCCTCGTACTGATGGCCCCTCACCACAACAAAGGTTAAAGAGGATTAATAAACTAATTCTATCTCACTCCCTTTTGCTGCTCTAATTATCAACTTGATCATGTGCTTATTCGGGTGATATGGAAAATTCTCATAAGTGGAATCTATAGTACTGATGTTTAGTGTCTCTAACATTGAATGAAAAGTTTAATGCTCCAAGTCTTTTGTTTTTAAACACCTTTTCTGCCTTTAAAAAACTGACTGCTTATGTAGTACATTAGGGTTTTGGAGAGCAGCTGATGTTTTTTTCCTCAACAATTACAACATAGGGTTAATTCACAAGAGCATAGGTGTCATTAGACCCCTTTTACTGGGGCAAGTGCCCCAGTATTGATGTGCTGTGCCCCAGTAAAAGCACACGTTAAGAGTTTTAACAAGCTACTATATTTGGAACCGGAATAATTTAGGTTAATAATAAGAAGAAGAAGAAGAAAAGATTTGATTTGTTGTTCTAATCCAGAATGCCAAAGCAGCGGTGGTTAGGGTTCATAAACCACGCTGCGCACATATGCACGTTGTGGTTGTAGCACTGTAGCATACACATAGTAATCCATGTACTGCGCACAAAACGAAAGGAATGCACTGAGGTAAGTGACGGGGAGT